TGGGACATCTCCCCCCGATGCCACCCCGATGTCCCCTCTCCACAGGCGGGTACCTGGCCCACAGCCTGGCCATCCTGACAGACGCAGCCCACCTCCTGACAGACTTCGCCAGCATCATGATCAGCCTCTTTGCTCTCTGGGTGTCCTCACGCCCCCCCACCAAAACCATGAACTTCGGCTGGCATCGGGCAGGTAATGGGGTGACACCAACCCTGGGGGCTGTCACCCAGCTTCTGGGGACCCCAGGGAGCACTTGGAGCATCCCGGGGTGCCTCGGGGAGCCCTGGGGAGCGTGGGGAGCCAGGGCAGAGGCACCAACGTCCTCATGCAGAGAGCAACCCTGGGGATGGGTGCTGGGTGCCCACCCCGAACCCCGGTGCTACTGGGGAGGGGGAGCAGGGGGGTGCTCAGGCTCGGTGTGATGGCGAAGCAGCAATGTGGGGTGTGTGGGGTGTCTCTGCAGAGATCCTGGGGGCCCTGCTCTCCGTGCTCTCCATCTGGGTGGTGACGGGTGTCCTCGTCTATCTGGCGGCCCAGCGTTTGCTCTCGGACAACTACGACATCGAAGGCAACGTCATGCTCATCACCTCCGCCTGCGCCGTGGCCGTCAACATCGTGTACGTACAGCTGGGTCTCGCCCTCCCCGAGTGTCCCCGTCCCCCCATGCCCAGTGGCCCTGGGGATGTCACCGCTGCCCTGCTTGCAGGATGGGGGTGGCTCTGCACCAGACAGGCCACGGGCACAGCCACGGGGCAGCCAGCGAGCAGCCCAACGCCAGCGTCCGTGCTGCCTTCGTCCACGTCGTGGGGGATCTGCTGCAGAGCGTTGGCGTCCTCATCGCATCCTACATCATCTTTTTTAAGGTCTGGGTTGTCACGGGGGCAAAGGGGATGTTGGGGACTCGGGGACAGTGGCTTCTGCCAGCCCTGGCCAGGCACAGGGGCGAGATGGAGGGGACTGTCTCCTCCCTGCTGGTGCCGATGGGGATTTGGGGCGTGGTGACAGCACTGGAGGGGCCTCACCCTCTCCCCCCTCCCCTCCAGCCCGAGTACAAGTACGTGGATCCCATCTGCACCTTCCTCTTCTCCGCACTGGTTCTGGGGACGACGCTGACCATCCTCCGCGACGTCCTCCTCGTCCTCATGGAGGGTAGAGACTCGCCAGGGGGGCGGGATCTGGGTTGTGGGGGCCACCCATGGGTGCCGCATCCCCCGTCTCCCCCCAGCACCCATGGCTCTCCCTCCCCAGGTACCCCCAAAGGGATGGACTTCAACGCCGTGCGGGAGACGCTGCTGGCGGTGGCAGGGGTGGAGGCCGTGCACAGCCTCCACATCTGGGCGCTAACGGCCGCGCAGCCGCTGCTCTCGGTGCACATCGCCATCAGTGAGTCACCGCTCCCCGGCGGAGCGACGGAGGGGATGACGGGGAGGGATTCGGGGTTCACCCACACCCCAACATCCCCTCCCTTGCTCCTTGCAGACGCGGGCGCCAGCGCGCAGGAGGTGCTGGAGGAGGCCAGCTCCCGGCTGCAGGGCACCTTCCGCTTCCACACCACCACCATCCAGGTGGAGAGCTACTCCGAAGAGATGCGGGACTGCCGGGAGTGCCAGCCCCCTCGCGACTGAGCGCCCACCCCGGCAGCCCCCTCGTGTTCTGAGAGGGACTTCTCATGCGTGGAAAATAAAGTGGAACAAAGGGCTGGGTGTGCTCAGTGGGGGATGTTGGGTCTGGCGGCGCCGGGCGTTATCTCAGGTGTCTGCTCGGAGTGAAGCCATCAAGGACGGACCCACGGCTGCGGCGGCCGGAGGAGAGCAGCTGTTGGAGGCCAGCAGCCTTAATTTTCCCTATTTCTAGCCAGCTGGTGGGGAAATGAAACTGAAACAACTCTTTCCCCTTCTATGGGGAGCGCTGCGAGGCAGTGGGGTGCTGGGGTGGCCTGGGGCTGTGGGGGGACCCATCCCAGCCTGGGGGGAGGGAGGACACGCCTCGCTCTCGGTTCTTATCGCTTCTCTGTTTGCCCTTGGGAAGCCAAAGGACTCGCCCTTTCTGCGGGGCTGGGGGCCGGGGGGGGCGCTGCATATACAGCTGAGTGCCACACAGGTTATTTCCAGGGTGCCCGGGTGCCGATGGTGCCCCAAACCCCTGGTGCTCCCAGTGCTCCCTGCCAGGCACAGCCCGCTCCCCCATATCCTACAGCCACCAGCCAGACTCTGCCTCTCCACCCGCCTTTATTGTACTGGTAAAACCCAATAACGAGTAAAACCCCGTCAGCAGTGACCACCCGCTCCGGGAGGGCTCCGTGCACCATGAACAGGGCACCCGGGGCCGGCCCTGACCCCGATCCCCAGCAGCCCTCAGGGTTTCTCCAAACGTGGGTATTTCTTGCGCAGGACGGAGACCTGGTCCTTGAAGAGGACGGGGTCGAGGCGCAGCTGGGAGGACACAAGGGGCATGTAGCCGAACCAGTCCGCCAACTGGTTGAGGCAATCCTGCCGCTGGGAGAAACGCCGGCCGCCGGCTGCCCCCGCCGTGCCCTTCACCTTGGCAGGAGGGGAGCATGGGGTGAGGGGCTCCGCTCCCCAGCTGAGGGGGGGGGTCCCCACACCCCCATCTTTGCACCCTACCTGCTGGGACACCATGTCCTTGTGCTGCTTCCGCTGGGTGACCTTGATGGGCGGCAGCTTGGTGACAGCGGCCACGAGGACGTTCATCAGGATGTCCTCGCAGGCGGCCAGGCCGTCCACCAGCTCCCGCAGCCCCGCCGGCAGGTATTCCGTGAAAAGGGTGTGATAATACCTGGGGGAGGGAGCGAGGGAGGGGGGCAGGATGCAGCTGAGCCCCCCACCCTGCCAGCCCCCTCCCCGGACGGGTACCTGTGGTAGAAAGCGGCGGCGGTGAGGACGATGGAGAGCTCGTTGGTCCACTTGGACGTGTAGCCCCAGCGCCTCTGCTCGGGGTCCCAGAAGTGGCTCCGCGTGGGGAAGCCCACGATGCGCTCGGGGAAGCTGCGCCACACCACAAAGGCAAAGTCCACCTGGCACAGAGTGGGGGACAGTGTCACGGGAGGGGGTTCACCACCCCCCCTGCCTTCCCCTGGCAGCATGTCCTGGGTGTGGGGACATGGGGACAGTGGGCGCTGCTCCCTGACAGCCCCGTGGTGCCCACTGAGCATCCTCCCCGGCTCGGCACGGGGCTCGCCCCAGCTCCACGGGGCTGGGGACCGCGGTGCCCATGGCCTCACCTCGCTGGTCGAGAGGCTGGTGTGCTCGTCCAGGCTCAGCACGGCGTCCGTCTGGATGGCCGCATAGGGGAAGAAGCGGTCGCTGAGCTACAGAGCGGAATAATCAGGTTGGGATGGGCCGTGGGGTGGGTGTCCCGGCTCCCTGCCCGCGTCCCAGCTCCCTGCCCGCGTCCCAGCTCCTCTCACCTTCCCCCTGCCCTGGACGATGGTCACAGGCGCGGTGGTCTGGGGCCATTTCCCACGCGGGGGTGGCGGTTTCTCGCAGCTCCACAGCACCACGATCTGCAGGCGGGAGGATCAGCGTGGCTGAGGAG